TTGCTATAGGGCACATGCGCTCGCCAGAGAGACAGAAAGCAAGAAATCACCCCCGGGGGGATGGCCACGCCACAATCCCTTCTCCTCCATTCTCCTCTCGGGATCTTGGGCATGCACGCACATGCGCCCGGCGTGAGTTTAAGTCACCGGGCCCGGGACTCAAACCGCGGTTGTCTAGATGGGAGTCCAGTGATGTAGCCATTATGCCAACTGCTGGTCCCATGTCTAGAGTGTTTTTGAAGCCACCGGAGCCAATGTTCAGACTGCACAGCAGGCTGTGCAGGCCTGACTCCCTTAACTGCAAGCCTGCAGGGCCAGTCAGGTCGTAGATAGTTTTCTCATCTGTCTCTCTCTCTCTTTAATTTCCTATTTAATTTCCAGCTGCATACAGTTGCAGGAGACACAGAGAGGGAGAGGGAGAGTGCGAAAGCCCCCTCCGGGAGGGGAGGATGGCTGTGCGCAGCCCCTTCTCCGGGCTCCTCGGGATGGTGAGCGTGCGCATGCCTGGCTTATGTTCCAAGCCAAGTGGAGGACTGGAACCGTGCCGTCCGCCCGCGGGGTCCAGCCGCCCCAACCACACCGCCATCTGGGCTGGCATGCTAGATGAAGGATTTCACCATATACATCACTTTCGGGGCTTCGTTGTCGTTATTCAGAGAGTGTTTGCTAAAGGGCATGCACCCTGGCCAGAGCGAGACAGAGAGTAAGAGACCACCCCTGGGGGTGACTGCGCCGCAGTTCCCTGCTCCATTCTCCTCTCGGGATTGTGGGCATCCCTGCCCGGCAAGGGTTTTAAGCCGCGGGGGGAACTCAGACCACAGTCAACTACGTGGGAGTCCAGCCACATAACCGTGGTACCGTCTGCCGGTCCCGTGTTTCATTTATTCTCGTTACTTCTGACTTGCTGTAGGGCGTGTGCGCTCGCCGGAGAGACGGCATGTGAGAAACCAGGCTGCCGGCTCCGGCCTGGAGCCACCGTCGCCCCGGGGCAGCCCGGCGCCTTAGCCACCAGCCACCTGCTGCCGCACGCCATCCCTGACAGAGGGCTTTACACGTCCTGGCTCTGGGAAGGGTTTCTTTGCCCCTCCCCTCACACCTCCATCACCCCCAGTTTTTTTTTTTTTTTTTTTTTTTTTTTTTTTTTTTTTTTTGCCATAGGGTTCCTGTGTTCATCGGATAGAGATGAAGAGAGGGAAATTGAGAGATCATCCCATGGGAGGATGGCCACGTTGCATTCCCTTCTCTTCCATTCTCCTTTCAGGATTTTGGGCATGTATGCATACTCACCTGGTGTGATTTTCAAGCTCATGATTCTGGGCCTCACGGTCCAACTACGTGGGAGTCCAGCGACATAGCCATTACGCTAACTGCTGGTTCCCGATCACCTCCAGTTTTTTATAGTTTTTTTTGTGTGGGGTGTTTGCACTCACTGGAGAGAGACAGGGAGAGGGAAGGTGAGAGATCACCCCCTAGGAATGGCCATGCCACAGCCTCTTCTCCACTCTCCTGAGATGTGGGCATGCCCACACATGCACCCAGCTTGGTTTCCAAGCCACCAGGTCCAGGACTCAAACCACAGTTGGCCATATAAAAGTCCGGCACCTTAACCACTTCGCCACCTGCTGGTCCCAGGATGGTGTGTTCTGTTTTTCTTCCACAGGACACATGTGCTTGGTGGGGGAGGGAGGGAGAAGTCACCCGCAAGGCATGGCCCCGCCATAGGCCCCTCTCCGCGCGCTCCTCGGGATTGGGGGCACGGACCTGCTCCCAGTTTGATTTCGAAGCCACTGGGTCTGGGGCTCGAACCACAGACAGCTCCGTGGGAGTGCCACGTCGGGGCGGGTGTGGATGGGGGCTGCACCTGGCCAGGCCCTGCCGCACACCACACCTTGTCCTTGCTCTAATGCCCACAGGTTTCGGCTATGGGCCCCCACCTCCGCCACCGGATCAGTTTGCCCCTCCAGGGGTCCCTCCTCCGCCCGCCACTCCGGGGGCAGCACCTCTGGCCTTCCCTCCACCTCCGTCTCAGGCCGCCCCGGATATGAGCAAGCCCCCGGCGGCCCAGCCCGAGTTCCCCTACAGCCAGTATGGTGAGTGGCCTCCGGCACCGGGTTCGGGCCCAGGCCTGGCCCCAGCCTCGGCTCCTGCTCTCCCCGCAGCCTGCGGCTGCACTGGCTGGGGTGCAGGGCAGGTGGCTGTAGGCCAGGCCCAGCCACACCTGGGGTT